ATTCTTCAAGGTAGAGGGCAGCACCACCACTCCTTCCCTGCCTGTCTCACCTGAAAAGTTTGTAGCCTTGACTGCAGTGTTCCAGTTGTGTGATTCGCCCCATGATGTTTCTGTGATAGCAATTAACTCACAGTTTTCTAATTGCACTGTGGCTTCCAACTCCTCTTGCTTGTTTCCCAAGCTACACTCACTGGTGTAGAGGCACTTCAGATGGGCTCTCAGCCACATCACCTTTTTAGATGAGCACTCTCTATTTCATTTAGGACAATTCAGTTATTTCCCTGCTGCTTCCTAAAGTGTTGGTGTTCCCTGGTTCTTCCCTGTCACTCAGAACTACATCTCCTTTCCCACTGATTTTAGTTTAAAGCTCTGCTAATAAGCCCAGCCAACTTGCTGCCCAGAATGCTCCTGCCACAGCTGGCCAGGTGTGCCCCATCTGGTGTCAGTGTCCCAGCTCACAGATCCAGCCCCCTGAGGTGGCAGCAGCCACATGCCAGTCATTCACCTGATCTGAAAAAGGAGAAAGAACAAATTGGCAGAGCAGAGAGCAGGACTTAACAGTGCTGTTAATGAAGGCGGAACACTATAAAACCAGTCTCGTGCTCAGAGCCTGTGAAATGACAGAACTGTTGTTAATTTCAGCCTGTCTTATTAACTTTATTTTACATTAGGTAGTGCTGTCTTGTGTCTTCCTTTATGTAGTTGTAAAATGTGCAACCCATTGATCAGATAGTAATCCTTTTTATCCAGTTTTTAGTATGGGCACTCGCAACAAAGCGTTGAAACTTCATATTTTGTTGCTAACTTCTGTGTTTCTGTTCTGAATGTTAAGGACAGGTAGCTTTATTAGGCTGCTTTACTAGACATTTCTCATAAGGTACTGTTCATGAGACTACCTGTCATAGGCTTTATGGCGGAAAAAAAATGCTCATGTTTAATGCTTCTGAGCTTCCTATTTTATCAGTCTTTTTTTTTTTTTTGGGGGGGGGGGATATAAAATTAGGCAGCTTTGGAATCTAAAGGATTGCTTCCACCGTCTATATGTTGAGTGGTAACAGAAATAGAAGATTAAGTGTTTTATTATCCCTTCTCCCGTCTATTTTGTATTCCAAAGTGTAAGTTAAAAGTGCTTACAAAAAATAAGTAATAAAAGAATTGGTCATGCAGTACGTGTACCTTCCCATTCACTACAGAAACAACAACAAAAATGTGCGTGTGTGTATGACAAAGCACTTTCTCCTCATAGAGACAAGAAGTGAGGAACAGTGATTCACTTGGTCACTACTTCAGGTTATGATTCAATAAGAACTTCCGACAAGCTTTGTACCTGTTGCATCTCAACTGTGAATGCCTTAAGTAACTGAGTGAATATACCACATCATTCTTTGAGATACCAAAACTATGAGACATTAAATTGTCTTTCAGAAACTGCCAGAAGTTATCACAGGTGTTTTGCACCAGCTTTGTAGTGTGGTATCTGAACGCTTTACATGTTTGACAGGTCCATTATCTCATTTATAACAGGTAGTTGACATCATCAGATAAAGTGAAATTTACTAGGAATGACACCAGCTAATTTATGATTGAAATCTTTGTTGTTAAGGTAATTTCTACAATGTGTCTACTTACTACTGTACTTAGTGTAGCATAAAACTTCATAAAATGAAGAACCTGTAGTGTCATTTTTGCCTACACTTACTTCATTTTAATCCATACTCCAGTTAGTTGACCATGATGACTTAAAAGAATATAGCTATCTGTAATGATATGAAACATAAATAAATGCAAAAAGATAGCTGAGGATCAAACTTGCACAGAAGAATCATTAGCAAATGTAAACCAGGAATATGCTTACAGAAAACATCGTCTCTTACCATAAAACAAAAGAGCCTTTTACTCTTTTCCAAAGAGTAAATTATGAAAAGAAAACAAAGCATGGGAATTCCCTAAGTTGCTATTTCTTAATATGTGATTATTGAAAATGGGGGAAAAAAGATCAGTGATACTTTTTTGTCAGTTCAGAGTAGTCAACTGTAACAAAGCTCAAAGGCCAAACATATCTTATCAAAATCGTTATATAATTAAGTGATGAGAGAGTGAGCTCTACGGTAGTAGAAATTGGTTATAAAATAGGCTGAGAGTGGCGGAGGGTGTGGGGGGGAAGGCAAATACTTATGGATAAACAAATTAGTATATAGTATACGCAGTCTATTCCTCAATTTATGAAAACAGGGTAGCATCTTCTGGAAAAAGGTCTTTTTAAATGGTTGACAAATGAGAAATTTGCCTTACCCTTAACATATTCTACTCTTAAAATCTGCTACAGTTTTAAGTAGGCACAAGAAAAGTGGGGTCAGAAAAGATGCATATATGTACAGAGTCAAATGTACTGGGATTTCTAATCCTAGCTTGACTCTGGATTCTTTTTTTTTTTGGGGGAGGGAAGGCAAGGAAGTAATCTTGCAGTGAGGCTGGAGTGTGGAATGACATCAGATGTTCACTGCTACTACTGGCTATTGCTGTGAAGATTTTTTTTTTTTTTTCAAATAAATTTGCTTTCCATAAAACTAGAACAGAAAACTCATATATGTAATATCAGCCATTATATTATACAAATCAGCCTCTGTACTATACGTGTTTTCAGTTTTTAGCGCTCTTATATTACACTTGCCTTTTTATAACATCTCTTTATTTAAAAAAAAAAAAAAAAGAGGGGGGGGATAGTTGAACTGTCTCGTAGCATTTTATATCCTTAAAATATAGAGCTACTTGATTCCAGAAAGCACCTATAGTTTAAGCTATATGTCCTTTGTGCATAGCTGTTTTGTGCCTAGAACCAATGACTGCTGTTGGAATAGAAGACAATATTAGGCACCTGTTCAGAAGACAACTCATATTTAAATAAGCTACTGAAAGTCTTTTTTTTGACTCTGAGAAATTTTAAGCCACAAAACTAAATACTGAAATTTGTAAAAACCTGTCAAATGCTGTGTAGAACTTGCAAACAAAAATAGCAAGTTAAATAATTAGGCTTCATAAACCTGAGTTAGATGCTCTAACAAGAGACCCCTGTCTGTAGCTACATAGATCAAATTGTTGGATCCCCTCCCTTAATGCCTAATCTGAATCCAGTGGTTTTGACTGAATATTGAAATCAGCTTGTATTTACTATCCAGACAGCTGACATATTAAAACTGTTTTACTAAACTGAAAGAAGTTTGTACAGCTCGTTTTTAAGTATTTTGAGATCATGAAAAGATAGCGTTAGAGGCACTTGTTTGATACTCCAAAGAAGTATTTTCATCAGTTTGTAAAAACAAAACAAACAAAAACAACCACCAGGAATTCAAATTGCTGTATTCTTTATGTTTCAGATTCCTTCCAGTTCATTAAATTTTACTTTTTACAACAGATACCGTACAATTTCTCAACTTTAAAGTAGAGACAGACAGGATAATGCTCGTCTATTGTGTTGTTTGTTCATTTAATAAACCAGACAAACAGCATAACATATAATGGTTCATCTTCTGTATGCTAAAATTTAGTATAAATGTATTTATTTATTATATTTAGGATTAAAGAAGAAAATAGCACTTCTCTCCAGAACTAAATTTGTGCTTACTGATCTTTTACTGAGAGCTGTCAAAGCCTTTTTGGTCATTATGCAAAACAGGATACCAATTTTAAACTGACAACTGTCATAGCAAAGTACTGATGTCTACAAATGTAACGTAAGCATTTTGGTAAATGCTACAAAAATGGCAAAACTTAAAATATACCTACATGTCCTAACTGAAAGGAAGGTAAAATAGAAATATTTATCAGTGTTTAAACTCCTGCCTCAGAAAAGTTCTATACTTTTCCTATTATCACCCTGACAGAAGCCTGTGCTGATGTCAAATTGATTTGGAATATCCTTGCTTTCAAATTGCATTTCTCATCTCACTAGCAAATTAATTCAGGTATTTTTGTGGACTAATCAAATTCTGCTACAAAATCTGTTTTATTGGTAAAATAATAAAAGCTGATGAATGAGCTTCAGGCCAAAATTTTGTCTTAATGCATGCTGTCCTATTCGTATCTAAATGTTATCAGTCCATTCTGCGTGTTCTGCACTTTTCTCAAGCCTGTAGTGGGGTTAGAAATGCAAAGGTCAATTAAGGATAAGTTTAGACTTGAGCATTCTTTCTTTATAGTTCAGAATGTTTTCTATACTTTGCTTTTCATTGGAGAGTCATATTTAATTGCCTTATTTGTTGCCTAGCTGCCAGGTATTTCATTTCCAGTTAGTGTTTTAGGTCAAAGGAAATCTATGATAGTGTGTTGCTATTTATTTATTGTCATTGCATTATGTTTGCTAGTTGGATAAAATAAATTATTCAGTATTTGTGTAAAACTGTAGATGTTTTATATGCAACTTATTTTAGGATTTCTTTAGGATTACTATTTCTGGCTAGGGAGCGCTTAAGCTTTAAAATGAGCATAAAAAGCAATGTGCAGTTTTCACATCTGGTTCTGATGTAATTACTGAAATACAAATTAATACAATGATACTCCTTAGTTCATGCCAGTATATCTAAAAAAAAAAAGTGTTTTCTTAAAAAAAAAAAAAAGTCACATTCTTCTTAGGAGCTGTATTGCTGTATTCCACTGCATTACCTATTTCCAATACAGATTAAAAAGGTGATGAGATTAATACAAGCAAAAATTATTTATTTTTATAGACAGAATAGATTTGAAAAATTGCCAAGTGAATTAAGACTTTTAAAAAAATCCTTTTGTTACACTTACGTCCTTTTTCCTAAAGTTCTATTTCCTGGGAGTAATGTGTGATAGGAAAGGAACAGGTTTTGTCTGCTGCTTCTTATGTAACAGAACAAAACGGTAAGATTTTGCTTGAAACGTGGAGGGATATTGAAATTCAAACAAAACACATTTTTTTTGGTACTTTTAAAACCAGAAGCATGTGAGCTATGATTTAGGTGTAGAACTGGAGTTACCTTATAACACAATGCAACCCCCAGACGTGTTCAAGCACTTGCTGCGTTCCTTAAATAGCTGGCTGCAGGGATGGGCAGGGGGAAGCGCTTTTTGACGTTTGTAAGGCTGCTCTGGGACGACCTGGGGCAGAGCAGAGAGACATTATTGAGATAAGTGAGGCTCTAATTTCCCATCCTTTGCTTATAGCAGAACGCTGCATCCATTTAATCAAGTCATTGAGACACAAACTAGCTTACCTAATGAGACATCTAACCATTAGTTCTACCCTCTGCCTGTAACGAGCGTGCTTCAGCGGCTAACCGAGCGATAACTTAAACCCAGGCAAGGGTTAAACCGCTTCACGTGCCCGCACTTCGCGAGCGCAGGACGGAGTTTGCTGAAAAACTCGGGGAAACCGCGGAGCCACTCGGCGGGCGGCCGCTGCTGACAGCTCCGCGCGGGGCTCCCTCAGCCGAGCGCGGGCTGGCGGCGCTGAGGGGTGCCGGTGGGACCGGGGAGGCTCTCCTCAGGACCGAGGGGCTCCCAAGGGGACCGGGGGGCTCCCCTGAGGCGCCGCGGGGCTCGCTCCGGGCTCGGGGCGCTGCCGCCGCCTGAGGCGCGATCCCCGCGCTGCGGCCGTTGGCGCCGCGCCCTGAGGGGGACGGAGGGGAGCGGAGCGCTCGGCACCGCTGTGAGGCTGGGGGGCGGCTGAGCCCCCTTTTTCCTTTCCTTTTCCTTGTTTTCACCGCTGGAGTGTGTGTGTGCGTGTGAGGGGGATATTTTACCTCAGGGAGGTGTGTGTGTGTCTATGTGTGTTTGTGTGGGGACGTTCGGTACCGCCCGAACGCCGGAGCGGCGGTTGCCTTCCCCGGCGGAGCAGCGCTGAGGAGGAGGCAGCGTGAGGAGCGACTCGCCGCCTCCACCTCCACCCATCCCGGCTCGGCCGGGCTCCGCTGGGCTCGCAGCCCTCCCGCGCTGCCGTGCCCGCGCTCCTCCGTGCCCGCGCTGCGCGCGCTCCCCCCCGGGCGGCGCTGTGCCCGCGCCCCTGCGCGATGCAGTGTGGGAATGGCTGTGGCGCTGGGGTTGGCTGAAAGAGGCGGCCAGTCGAGGTTTAATGTCCGCCATGTTGGCCGTGGCGTATTGAGCGGAGCCGGAGCGGCGGAGGAGAGGAGCCAGCGCCCAGCCCAGCCGCGCCAGCCGGCGCCGCCGGGCCCCGTGTGGGAGCGCGCCCCGCCCCGCCGGGGGAGCCCCGGTCTCTCCATGAGAGCGCTCGGCGGGGTCCGGCTCTCAGCTCGGAGCGCTCTTGCTGTCGCCCCCCCCTCCCCAGCCGGAGCCGCCATCGCCGCCTAACATGAGCAAACTGTCGTTCCGGGCCCGGGCGCTGGACGCGTCCAAGCCGCTGCCCGTCTTCCGCTGCGAGGACCTGCCCGACTTGGCCGAATATGCCTCCATTAACCGGGCCGTGCCGCAGATGCCCACGGGCATGGAGAAGGAAGAGGAGTCGGTACGTGAGACCCCCCACCCCCACCCCCCCCCGGCCGGGTCCCTCCATCCCCCCCGCACCCGGGGCCCCCACCTTCGCCTCTGCGCAAGCACAAAATGGCCGCCATCTTCTCCCCGCTCTCCCCGCCCGCCGGGAGGAGGAGGAGGAGGAGGAGGGGGGGGGAGGCTGAAACCGGGGAGTGCGGGGAGGAAGGCTCCGCGCCCTGCCGCCCGTTACCGCTCCCCCCTTTACCGGTGCCCCCCCTTTTACACCGCTACCCCCCCCCCACCCGACCCCCCCCCAGGGGCGGCCGCTGGCCCCTTCCGCCGGGCCCCGCTAGGCACAAAGGGGGTCACGTGATCCCGCGCCCGGCCGCCATTTTGTCTCCCGGCTGCTCGGGCCGGGCCTTGTGCGGCAGCGGGCGGCGGGCGGGCGGCGGGGCGGTGGCGGCGCTGCCCCGCTGGGGGGCGCCCCCGAGCCGGCCGCGGGGAACGAAGGAGGGAGGGAGGGCGGCCGCGGGAGCGCGCACGGCTCGGGGGCGCGCTGCCGGCAGCGGGAGAGCGCCGGGGGGGGGGGGGAGATTGGGGGCGAGCGCGGTGTGGCGGCCCCTCCTCAGGTTTCCCTCAGGTGATGGGCTCGGCAGGGCCGCACCGGTGTCTGTGTGCCGCCCGGGTCGGGGTGGGTTTGTTGGGGGAGTCGTGAGGTGAAGTTGTGGGGTGGAAGCACGCGTATCGGTCCCGGAGGCAGTCCCCGCACGCTGATGTGTTTGTCGGTGTAAGGAAGTCTGAGCTGGGTGCCAGAAATCCGCCGCTGCCTCTCGGTTGTGCTGTGTGAGGGAAGCACGAAACTTGCGGCTTCTCCAGTGTCAGGCTGTGATCGTTCCGTCCCCACAGCCCGGGGTGGCTGTAACGTCTGATGACCCCTACCGCTACAGACCCTTGCTGAAGTGTTTGGGACTATCACGTTGCTCGTTCCTTCTGTCTCCTAATCATTCCCTTAGTATACTTGGCTTTCTCCACTTATACATTAAGTGCAGCAAACGGGCGAGAGCGGTGGAACTGCAGTTATGTAAACAGGCTTTGAAATCGTGATGAGAACAAACGTGACAACTTCGTACCCTTTCAGTTTTGCCTGCTGTCAGGCTGCCGTTGTCCTTCGAAGGTGACAGGCTGTCAGGTTCCCGTTTGTATTTCTAGATGTAGTAGCGAGCTTTGAGTTACTTCTCTAAAACTTAAAACACATAAACCTTCCTCAAACATCATCTTCTGTTTGTGGTACTGTTGGGCTAAGTTAACCAATTCTGTGAATTCTTATGAAATGTCACGGAGGCTGTATGTATTCTGGACAGTTAGTGCCCTTTGCATGTTGTCTCCATTCAATAACTGCTCTCTTGCTGTTTGTTTTTTTTTTTTCCTCTTGTTACTGTAAATGCCTGCATTCTAACATAATTTATGTAACATTTCAAAGTTTGTGCAAGTCATAACTTTAAACATCCACTGAAATATATAGTTTGAAGTTGCTTTTTTTTTTTAAGTGATAGTGTTCAAAACTTTATCGTGATATCCATTTAGTAGTAGTGCTTAAGCAGTAAGTAGTTATGCTTAGATCCTCTCGGTTCGTTTGATGCAGTAGATGAACTCCAAAGCAATACCTGTAGATTCTGATATGAGAGAGCTCCTGTAGTTTCAGCTTGCACCAGAATTTCAAATTTTGTTATGTTTGTTAGTCAGCAAGTGTCCGTGCATGCGTTATTTATATAGGAATGTTAGATAACTTTCGCTTTCACTGTTTGCCTTGCAGTTACAAATCCCGGGGATTGAAAATTATACGGGGTAACTCCATAGCTTCCATAAACCCACAGATATGTGTCTTAGCTAAGGAAGAGGTGGTCATGAGCAAGGGAAAATTGTTCAGCGTTAATTAGAAGACTTTGTTTCTGTGGTTAATGGGATGCTTTTGTTTGCAGAATCAAGCTTTGAGGGTTAAGCTCCAGAGTAGGTGCAAGTAAATGCTTTCTACAGCTAAAGTTTGCTCATGCCTTTGTTCTGAGTACATGTGCATGCACAGACACACCCCTGAGAGAAATTTGTTTGCCATTGATAAACACAGGTGTCTTCTTGAATCCTTTTAGGAGCTTCTTACGTAAAGCAGTTGATTTTAAACTCTTCCCCCTACATGTTTCTGCAGACTTGCTAGACTTCTTTCTTTCTCACATATCACCCCAAAAAAACTTTCTCCTCAGCTTTGTACAGGTGCTGACAATGTAGAAGCGTGGTGGTTCACTAAAGGTACAGCAAATATTACAGGTTTAATACCCTACTAGGTTTTCTTCCCTAAAGTTTGTGCCATGAAGGATTTTTAGAAAGTTGGAAATTGTATTATGTAGCACCGGAAGACTTGGTTTAGATTTTTTCTCTAATACTTAAGAGTATTAGATATTTTACTTAAGAGTATAGATATTTTGCATTATCAGTTTCTTTAAGGACAGATGGCAAAGTGTCCGTAAGAATCTGGGGGGAGAGGAGGGGTGACTTGGGTTGGTGTGAACAGCCATTTATAACGTATTTTATAAATAGCATTCTAGCATTGCCTTGAGTTTTGCATAAATCTAATTTTAAATGAACACACATTTGGAGTTAAGAGCTCTTCTCTTGACTAAATAACTTTCCCTAGGGAAAAATGCAATCAAAGATTTAATATTCAAGCATCAAGTCACAAGATATTTAAATGACTAATTAGTGTTTTGATGCACAAAAAGGAATATATTTTGCTTCCCTTTCATCTTACCTCTCTCCCATCCTGTTCCTACAAAGAATAAATATGGAAAACAGTGCATCTTCATTATTGCAACTTGAAACTTCAGATGAGCAATGCTGTTTTGTAAGAGTCCTCTGAAGGCCAAAAAAAACTTGTCAATTCTAAAGTATGCAACAGATAAGAGGGATACAGTAATTGTTTAAAAACAAATGACAACTAAGGACCTTCCTTAAAGTGATGTTTAAATTCTGTTAACAAGTGAAGTGTACCTTTCTGCTTAGTAAGTCATAAGTTCAGTTAGTGGTTTTGTTTGGAGGTAGAAGGCTTAGAGAGCTTTTTACTTACTCCTGGCACACAGGCAGTGGTACTTGGAGCTATCAGCTGATAGCTCTGACAGTTGGGTTAGCTCCAGAGTTTGTAGGGTAAACACACAGTGGCTGTTGCTAAATCTAAGAGACTGAAAACAATCAGGAGACGCATGCATTTGTTAAATAATTACAACCAAAGCCTCCAAAATGTGAGGATGTTTCTTACGCAACACTAAACATCCGCTGCATTATCTCAGCCTTGTTTTTGAGCAAAATGCATCCTCAGCACAGTGATTTTGACAGCCAGAGAAGAGGTCACTGTTAATACTGTAGTGATGCAGATTCAGGTAACACATTCATTTCAATTCATAACAAAAGGCCTGAATAAGGAAGTAGACGATGGCAGATTCATTTATCTTTGGGAGTAATGTTTCTTTCAAGATGGTAATTTGTGTGACACAATTTTTGCCTTTTTTCTTAACTGGAAATTGAGATTTCAGACTGGAACATAAAGCAGACAGCTGGAAAAGCATAGCAAATACAACTTTTCTCAACTTACTTCAGATAAATTACTTTACTGAAGAAATCAGACAGCCTGAGTCTTCTTAGCTTGTTCACTAAGTTACGTTTTGCAAAGGAAACATGCGTAGCTTTGTAAGCATCCTAAACTTGGTGGCTTTTCCAGCCATACCAAGGAAGACTTTACTAATTTTCCCTGTTTTTTTTTTTTTTTCTTTCCTGAATGAAAGAAGATAGAACAACCTTATCTTGCCCCTCAGCCTTTAGGCTCTCTTACATCAAAAACAGAAACTTGAGATGGGTGGGTTTTTTGGAGGCTTTGTAGCTGAATTCAATTTTCTAGAAGGTTTTTAATGTATTTTATTTCTAAAAAGATATTACCTCATCATCCCCTCTCTCCCCCCCAAGAAAAAGAAGAAAGCAATGTTTTTTGAAGCACCTCAAGTCAACGCTTGTAAGTGTATTTAACACATCAAGATGTGTGAACTTCTTAGGATCTTTAGTTGAAGTACTGCAACAACAAAGGCAATGTGTGAGCAGAGATACTTTTAAATAAGTGCTATGTTACACATCATAGAAATGGATTATGTGAATAGGAAAACATAGCTATTTTAATGAAACTTCTACAGTTAATGACGGTTCCTGTTCAGTGTGGGTATGGGAATTAACCTCTTTTCTTAATTTTGTTATCCTGATGTGAATGCTGACATTACTATGGTTTCACTAAGGATTTGAATGCTGTGTTTCTATTTAGCCTTGTGTATGTTAAAGTTTGTATGTGTTAGATGCACCTTTTCCATCAGGTAAAATTCTCTAAATCCAAGTGTCTCTGTCCTTGGTGTTGAGGCAGGGGAGAGTGAATTATGTAAGTGGTGAGAAGTCTTGTTGCTTCGTTATATTACTCTTAACTTCCTCTTCTAACTAAGCTCGAGGGCCAGTGGTTAATCTCTTCACTCTTCACTCAGCAGTAGCAGCGTCCTTGTCCTACTAGATCGTTTCCAGGCGTGATGCACCGTGTACAGTTCAGCTCTTAGGGGTCAGGATTTACAGTTCCATTTTGGTGAGTTACTAATAGCTAGGTATCCAGGAAAACTAGGCACCCAGAGCCTGAAATCACAAGCTGCACAACTGCTTTTTAATTTCTTACAATTTTCCTTTGCAAATGTGTTATAATCCAACTAACAGGTTGCACAGAAAGTGAAATGAAGTCTGCACATGCAGTTGTCAGCTGTAAAAGCTATTATATTCCATTATCTGGTGTTTGTTATCTGTCAAAATAGTTTAATGTGTGCTTTTGATCTCTTCAAATCCATAGCTGTAGTTCTCTTCCCTGCCCCAGCTTTAGAGATGTTCAAGAGAAGCTTATTTCTTAAATTGTCATCATTAAACATTCTTAATCATTTTTTTCCTGATATCAGCATGAGCATCCAGTATTTCTGAAATGTCATATACAACCTGATGATGATGATTTAGTGTTCATTCAAATCCTTTGAAACATTTAAAATGTATCCCTAACAGGGCACCTCTAACTTAGCAAAGCAATAGGTTAATTCACATTTACCCCCTTTTGACCAGGCTCCTCTTCACAAAACTTCCTTGAGCACAGCTGCTGTGGCTCTTCTCCAGGAAGTGTACCCAGAGAAAATAGGCCTTTCTCCTCCCAAATCCATGCTGGAGGCATTGGGAAGTGAGCATAGCCAGACTATATTGATACTGAAACAGCTGTTTTCCACCTTTTCAAGGGAAAAAGCTGGTATGGAACATAGCAGATGAGGCCTATGTCACCATCTCAGCTATGGTGAATTTAAAAATGAGTGAATTAAGCATGTAGCTTAGGTGTAGCGAGTCAGTGAAGGAAAGGATAATAGGATCTTTTCAGTGAAACTCAGGTGTGTCGTCTTTTCTGGTCAGGACATTCTTAAGAAATCACGTTCTGTCAGTGTTTCAATAAAAGCATATGTTTCCTTCCAATTAAACACCTGTGTATATGGTTTTTAAGTACTCTTAAAATAATCTTTCCTTTGCTGATGCATGGTTCGCTGATACTAAGTGCTTTGGGATCTTGTAGGGGCAATCAGTATTATATGAATGTAAAATCGTAACGGGTCCTGTGACTGAATCATTAGGCTCAAGTCTGTTTTCTTCCTCTTTGATGTAGCAAAACTT